AGCCTGCAGTGCAGGTTTCATGGACTAATCTGATGGGTTACTGGTTTGCTAAATTCTTACAAATGTTTCTCAGTCCAAAGAAGTTAAGTCAAGACAGCCTATAGATATACTCCACTTTACTAGGCAGTAATTATTTCAGTGGGGTTTTTTTTGTTTAGGTTTTTTTTTTTTTACTTGATTGCTTTTTCTGTTTCAGTAATAAGTAACTACTATTCTATGTGCAAGTAGAAATCACAGCATAGAATGAAATGTTTTTCCTGGGTTGACTTGCATGCAGGAAAGTATAAATGTAGACCTATATATGGGAGATCCAATAATTAAGATACAAACATGGAGAAATCCACTGTTTTGACATATTTTGGCAATTTAACACATAGCATGTAGACAATTTCCAGAAAACCTATGCTGAACAGATGTTTCAAGGACAAAACAGCAGTGACCTTTTAATTTTTTGTCCTATAATAAAATTGCTTTTTGAATATATTTCTATTAATGTAACACTAGTGGAATTTTTTTAAACCTCTCTCTCAAATACTTTACAGATATCATAGGAACATACAGCAGGGTCCATCCAGCAAGCACTGTGGCAGATATACATATACTACTCCCAGATGTATTTAAAATAGTGTAATTAAAAGTAAGTAACTCTTAATTTAAAAGAAAATCAAGATATATTATGTAATTTTCTGAAATGGGGCACTTAAATGTAAAAATCACAAATGTCATCTCTATTCTGGTTTTTTCATATAGTTGAATTATAGCCTCTTTATGCCTTTTGTTCACATTAAAAATTGCTTGGTTTCAGTAGCGACAATGTTGGGGTTTTTTTTTTTTTTTTACAAAGACTACTGGGGTCAAAATCTTGGTGTGGGAATGATTCAAAACTGAAAAGCATTTGGTTTTATGATGGTTAGGTAAAAAATATCCTCCTATCCATCCGCTTACTCCAGAAAAGCTCTTTAATCCTAATAGATACAGGAAAAAGGATACGAAAAATACATGTATATGTGTACAGAAGAGATTTTGACACAATTTTGATGTATTGTTACTCAACAAATGCATCATATATATAACTGGACTTTTCAAAACTGATTTACTGCACATTAATTCATTATTTATATAGATTTGATTTTCAGAATTCTCCTACTTAATTTGATTCCCTTAACAGTAATTTCCTGAAGTATTTTTGTGAACTGTGATTTAATATAATTTAATTTATAGGGACTGCGTTCTGTTTTAAAGTTTAGATTACTTACTCTGGGCATAGAGGGACTTTACCAATTGTACATTAAAATTAAGCTCTAGTAATCCAATCTCATGTACCTCCGCAAAATTAGAGCACCCTAGTATCTACTCAAAATGTAACTGGATTGACCTTGAGAAGACTGATGCCATTTCAACTGGATCTACCAGGTATACTACGATAAAGTGTACACACTTGTATTGTATTACAATTGTATTTATATATGCTAGATCATGTAACAGAAACCTTCTAACAATTATGATTTACCTCAAAGGTTTTCAGCAAAATTTCTGTGGACGAATAAGGAAAACTGCAGAATGCCAGAAAGGCATCTGGCAGAGTAATTTCATTAAATCTTTTGATTGCATTAATTATAAAAAACTTGGAATTCTCAGTAAGGACTGGCTTGAAAACAAAAGCTAGAAGACTGGTGCAAATCAGTCTTAGCAAAAAGCAGTGGTAGCTAGAGCAAATAACTTTTCCTACCCTAGTGTGTTTCAAGTCAGATAAAAGCATGAGTGTCTTACAGATGCTTGTCAAGCTAACATTTTGAAATGATAAACGATTCATGTAAGGCAAAGCAAAAAGTCAATGGAAGAGATGTGAAGTCTTTAGCATGCGTGATATGATAATCGTTGCAAAAACACAAGGAATTCTATTTGCGACAGTCAAGCTGAAACCTCCCAAAGTGCGAAGAATTTCAGATTAAGATAAACACAGAAAGAGACAAAATCTAGAAGTAATATTAAGACTGTAATGCCATTAATTTAGATCAATGTGTAAGGCAAGCCAATCTGTAAGTAGGTGGCAAGGTTTCAATGTCTGGGATGAGAGCCTGCAGCAGACGGCAAGCAGGAGAAAGACATGAGAATAACATGGAGAAAATTAGTCTTTTCTACCAAAAAATATAGTTGTATATTTGCACACCAGCATAATAAAGTGTTGCGTCTCTGAGAGAAGGAGAGCTATTTGATTAAAAGGTTTGGACAGTGCTTAGTGAAAGATAGAGGACAAGTTTGGCCCTGCTTTATGCACATGCAACTATATGGGGACAGTCTATATCAGAGGCAGGCAATTATTTTGGGCGGAGGGCTGCTTACTGAGTTTTGGCAAGCCATCAAGGGTCGCATAACAGGCAGCCAGGGGCAGATAACTATTAATTTTCTAAATTTTTTAGGGGCCCCACGGGTGGATAGGATGGCCTGGCCGCCCATGGGCTGCATTTTGCCCAAACCCGGTCTATATCTATAAAGAGATATCTAATAGCAGATTCTGGCCAAGAGCATTTAAAAAGCATGAAAAGAAGAAGCTATAGAGATACAAGGATGCAAGAAAGCGTAAAGAGTAGGAGAAAAGCATACATTATGTATGCTGGCTTTGTTATTACAGGTATAGGAACAGAGCTGATAAAGGTTCTCTCATGGAGAAACTGTATGATAGCAAGATCAGGAAATAACTGGGCTTGAAAGGACAAAAATATAGACCGAGTCAACTGAAGAAAGTTGGGTTGTGTGCAGTTCTTGACCACCAGTATCTTGCTATTGGCATTTGGTGTGCTGACTTATTTTTCATCACAGGTTTTGAGGTTTTTTATTTTCTAAGCCTTAAGGATTTGAGCAGTTTCCCAACACAAGTGAAATATGTTGCTCAGTATCACAGCAAGCCAGATTCTACAGTTCTTTAGCTACTTTGTGTTTATTTTTTTTCAGCAAGACAAAATTACTCCTGAGCCAATGTCCTTATATGGGGGCAGTGAGTTGTGTTAAAGTCAGCAGCCAGTATTATTGCCCTGAGAAGATAATAATAATATTGGCTTGAAAAGAAGCTGAGATCAATACTTACCCCAACAGGTATTACATTACCAGTCACTGATACCTGACATCAGTGCATGTAGGGTTAATGTTCTCATTAGGAAAAGAAAAAAGAAACTGATCTCATGATCATGAATTTTTAAAGTTTAGCTTAAAATTTGAACAGCAAGATGAACGAAAGGGTCTAGAAAAAAAAACTTTGAAGGGAAGAATAATTTTCACTTAACTCTGCAGCAGCCAGTTAAGATGCACACACTTGCAAATGTAATGTGCTTGACATTGCTCCGGATATAGATATTTATTCTAAGGAGCTAAATAGTAAAAGCTGAGATTCAACACATGACCATTTTGGGCCAATCAGAAGTCAGTACTCTTCTAGGCAACAAAATGTCTTAACAACCTACCTTCACTAGAACTCTTAGCAGGATAGTTCATTAGGATTTCTGACAAAAAACAAACTTTTAAATACACATTAACAGCAATAAGAAAGTTTGCATAAATACAAATAATGAAGCTGCATCAAAAATAAAATGGAAAAATGGCTGACATATTTTGTTCCTTTACATTTTGTTCTGTTTTTCTTCTTAGAATGTCCCAAACTAATATGATATCTGTTATGAAGTAAACTGAATACAATTTTAAAGGATTAAAGGAAAAGTATTTGAAATCATATTTTTAGTTCCTTTTTAAAAGCCCTTTCAAGGTGGGGAAAATTCATGCATTATCCACTGTCATCTTAGAGCACAAGGACAGATACAGGCAGCTGCTTCAAGCTGGCTATGGTGTGCAAAGTTCACTGTCGTGAATGATTGACTGCTAAACTGTCAGGGACAAATTAACAAATACTCACAAAGATGGGGAGAATGTGTGGCTGGTTTCAAAACACACTTTACTGTGAACTATAGACTATTGCACATTTCAACATAACACAACAAAAGTAGGGAGTTCAAAAGATAATACACTTTGTAACATAAAAATATACAAACTAGCTTGTGCACAGAAATCAAAACATGGATACAAGACACCACTGCAGTCAAACCTGTCTTCTAGTCTGTATGTTTTTAGTGACCTTTAGAAACTGGTCTAAACTGATTATCAGCAATACTTTTTTTGTTATTTTTTTAAAAAAATATTTTGAGACCACATTTTTGATACACATATATATAATTTTGTGGTCAAAAACAGACAGACTTAACTTTAGCGATACTAAATAAAAGTGCAAAAATGTTCAAAAAAATAAAACAAAATTAAAAAATATGGAAGCATAAGCTAAAAATTTTCTGCATAGCTGAAATCTATTTAAAGCGAGTCCTTGGTAGGGGATGTGGACAGGAGGAGAAAGCAGTTTGTTTTTTTTTAAATGTCTTCTGCATTTTTTGTTTCAAATAATGCAAAAATGTCATTTTGTCAACTTTTAAAATATTTCACAGACAGTTCACTCCTGCATCCTTAGACACCATAGTTGTGGCAGTACCTCCTTCTGCAAGGTAAACAGCAGTGCTGGATTTAGAGTGGACTGCCCTGTCGTTGCCATTATTGTTGACCTCGCAGTCCAGTGGTTCAGTAGAGATGACCCATGTTGATGGGCGCCACCGCTTCAGTGAATAAGGAGTTTTCACACGTTTCTTGATCTTCTCTCCTGAGCCTGGCTTGCCATCTTGCAACGAGTCACCTATTAAAGATAAGCGAGCAGAAAATATAACATTGTAGAAGAAAGCACTTGAGAGTTCAAGGTGGTTATTTCTAGAAACAGAATCCTTTCAAAGCAAGCACAGTGACAAAAGATGTAGCTAGTACTGGATGCGTAGTAGGTGCCATTAAAACACTGGATCAAATTCTGCTCTCACTTAAACAGTGGAACTCTGTAGTTATGCCACTGGAGTCATCTGGGTTACTTGGAATACTTTTTGCCCCCCATGATTTACCATTCAGGTGGTTTGCACCATCAGGGTATCTTTCTGTACTTGAAACAGGTGATACAGTGGTATCACAGTTTCTATAGGGTGGTAAAACACTTAAGTCTTGAAAAACACTACATTTTTAATGGCATGATTTTATTATTTAATCTTGTAATTCCATTCTACCTGTTTCTTAAATAGGTTGTCACACACAGAACCACAGCCAAAGCCCAGCTTTTAATTACCTTGGAATACTGTATTGCACAATTCAGGGTTTGAGAAACCTACTCATGGCTTGTGTAGGGCAAGAAGAAATGCTGCCTAGGATGAAGGACTACTAGCTGCTCTGGAGAGAAGTGGAAAATAAAGAAGCACAGTGACTAATGTAGCACTAGCCCTTTTTGAGCAAGGGAAGGGAGTTAAGCTCAGAGCCACTACCTCTTAGGGGAAGAGAAAGGGTGAGAAGAGGAATCATAATGGAGGGGGACTGGGAGTTCAAAGTCTTCTTTTTTTTCAGCAGTAGCAGAAATGTTCTGCAAAAAGGAAGGCATTTATTTGTGACGGGACTTGGGATGACAGAGCAGATATTAGGGGAATTGATTCATTCCAGGGATGGGGGAGAAAGAAAGAACTGATATATTTGAGGGTCTGGAGCACAGAACTAATTTACTGGGAGAAAATTAAGCACTAAAATTAAGCATGAATGGGATTTGGGAGGGTGGCTTTTGGGAGTGAGAGACAGCACAAATGTTTACTAAGTTACTCAATGACTAAGCATGCAGGTAGGTATGCTTAGTTATTGGATAACAAGGTGTTAAGGAAATTCAAGCCCTCTCTGCACTTACATTGCATGCCACTGCTATCCAAAGTATTTGTGGCTGAGAGATCCAGTGAATTAGGCCTCTGTGCTCTTCTGGTCTGGGTCTGGCTAGGATTTGTTGCCGTGCTCTGGATGCTGACTGCCGCTATATCTTGCACTGGGCAAGGATTGCTATTGTTGTTGTTGGCATTTGTTCGTCCATTATCCAGTGACCGCTCTCTCCTGTCCACTAAACGATCTAGAACACCTTCATCATGGCTAACTTGCTGCTCCCGTCTCAGCAGAGGTTCATGCTCATCAGGGCTTGAGTTAATAGTCAGTCGACTGTCCTCTCCACTGAACTGGTTCTGAAGCATTTCTTGGGCCCTGTGTGTCACGGAACTGGTCTGGCCAGATGGCACTGCTCCATTGGCATACTGGGTTGTTACAGCATGCGAATTTATGCTGTGGCTCCTCCCAGCCACTCCGTTCATAGTAACTGTTACCACATGAGGTTCTGCAGTATTGATAGAGTTCATCTTGGCAACTCCAGTTTCTACTTGCTTCAAGTTTGATTTGTGCTTGCCACCAAATTTCAGTCTTGGCTCCTTTGTTGAATTTTTGGTGCTTAAGGGTAGACTAGTAGGCCTCTTCGGCAAGTTTTGCTGCTTCGGTAGAGGGTAGACCTGAGCAGATGGGACATCTGGTATCAAACATGCTTGACCATTCCCTGCTTGTGAGAAGTCCTGCTGTCCAGTTACCTCTACTGCTAATTTTATCAGTGGATAAAGCAAGCTAGAGCTGGTACTGCTGAGTGGATCTGGTCCACTGAACTGTTTCAGGGAATGCTCCATCAAATTCTCATCAGAACTCTCCTTTAGGTTCTTATCCACTTCTTTTGGATCCAGCTTGTTGGTCTCCAAGTCCTCCTCTGTTAGCTGCAGACAAACAGGAGTTGGCCCAATAGGCTGCATGATGTTTGTAGCATGTAGGTTTGCTTCATCTGAGTAAGGCATCTCAGATATAGTTGTCATGCCAGTGCTAGGAGTAAGCCCAGTTGTATTGGTGGTAGTAGTGTTGGTGGACAAGCTGGTGACGCTAGTCTCAGGACTAGGGATTCGAGCCTGTGCTTGCTGTCTTTCATAGTTAATGGAGTTTCTGTTCTTTTCCCCTGAAGTCAGTGGCGTAGTGGACATTGAATGCTCAGAGGAAATGTTCTTCACAATGCTGTCAGTGTGGTGGATTGAGTCTTCAATGTAGGAGGAAGAAGAATAATCTGGATAGGGCCTGATCTTTGACACACGCCTATGGTGTGACAGGTTGCTTTAAAAATAAAAGAAGAAAAATGTTACAGTATAATAATGTACAGTATTAACAAGTACATAGTAATACAAAGCTAAATCAGCTTTCCTTTGGGAGACCAATTACTTCATGAATTCTGACAGCACTACAGCTTCTACAACCTCTGGCTGCCATGAAATGGCATTAGTAGATAAGAGACTTCATCAAGGATGTTACTTTGTTTTTTTTTTAAAGCCAAAGATGAGGAATGTTGTTCTATTTGTTCCATATGCTGATTGCTTAGTTTACTGTTGAGCTAAGCAAAAGTGCTGACAAGAGATGCTGAGGAGGCAGTAGGTAAAGGAAACCTTAGAGATGGAAGGAAAAAAAAACAAGGCAGTCACAAAATTTTGATAAAATCCATGGTTCTAACAAATTTGTTAAAAGTGATCCATGTGTTTAATGCAAATTTAACATGAGAAGAAACACTACCATGAACAGCAATAATATCTCCCACCATGCATCTATAGAATATATAAAAGGTTAATGTCAGCTCAGCTGACTTTCCTTCCATCTGGATCATTTACAGTCAGAAAAGGGAAGTTCACAGCGCCTCTGAGGGTCAGAATAATTATGAATTCAATGCTGACCTTGTGGTTCCTTAATTGAATGAGTGCAGAACTGAGGCTCTGAGTGATTTTATGAACTCATGTTTCCCAACTGGCAATGAATACACATAGCTTTTAGCAGAAACATTTTAAACAGAAATATCATGCATCATTTAGCAGCAATTCCAAAGACAGGTCATAATAATTTCTTTAGCTTAACTGTGCAAGTCTATTTTTTGGGTGGCTATGTAACTCAGCCAACAAAAAAACCCCAATCTCCTCTATCCAAAATACAGTTCACATCATAGGCATATGGGCTTCAGAGATATTTGGGGAATTAGACGACTCAGAGCTGTGAAGAATCAGTTTCTTTGTGGATTCACAGAGTAAATTAACAACCTGGACCAAATTATACAATGTCTATGTACAAACTAGCTCACACAAGCATGTCAATTTCCAGGTCTAGGAACATTCAACTACTATCAACAGTCTAAATTTATTCCTGAGGTGATGAAGTTATAATATTTAATTGGCTAACTCTAAACTTCATTTCTTACCGTTCATTTTGCATGGCAGTAGACATAGGATTGACTGTTGGGCTAACTGATTTGTTCCTCTCCCAAATCATCATGAGTTCAGCCATCCTCTCCTCAGCACACTGGGCTGTCAGTCGTGCTTCGGCATCTTGGTCCCAACAGTCTTCAATTGTCTCTTTTAGTGACCTTATAGCCTGCAAAAAAAGCCATGTGTCAAATTATTCACCTTTGATATTACATTTCAGCTTTGCTGTCTTATTGATTGAGTGATCATTTTCAGTTATTCTAGAATGCTACCAAAATCTGGGCGACAAGACAAGAAACATGTTAGGTAACCTAAATATAGGAGTCACTCTAATAGTCTTATATTCTAACTGTTCTACGGTTCACCATAATGAGCATTTAAAATAAGTCTGTAAAACCTCACCACTCACTATTAGCTCAGAACAACACACCTACATGAGCTGAACCAAATGGAACTCTCTTTAAAAAACAGCTGTTAAACTTGCTTCTTCCAGAGCTGTATTTAACAGTGCCATAGTTAGGATACCTGCAAGCACACACTCCTTGAACACTGTTGCAGACCTTATTAAGCATTAGAGGCTGCTTGCAGGCATTTAAAAAATGGTGCTTTACATTAAACTTGGCACACTCCTGTAGAGAGCCAAGTGCATGACTAGAAGAGGCAGTGCTTTAGTTGGACTAGGCTCGCCAAATATCTGTATAAACTGGGTACTTTAGGGGAGCTTTTTGGCCCTTTTAGCTAATAGCTGATTGACTCAGCTTTAGATATAAGCACCAAAAAGCCCCACAGAAGTGTCTGATCTATACAGACGCTGAAGAGTTAGGTTGAACTAACACACTGCTTCT